AACCTAATATTTTCAGTGGGTAGGAAATTTTGAATTTTGCCCGGGTGGCGGAGGTATCGATTTTAGACAACCAAGGGATCTTTAAAATGTAGCAGTAGAAATGCTGCAGAAAGAGTCAGGAGCCCAGAGGTAGGGGAAAAGGAGGTGAGGGGGTGGGGGGCAGAAAGAGGAGACGAAAGCAGACGAAAGACCAATTCTAGACAGCAGAAAAGGAGGTGAAAAGAGACTATTTTAGAGAAGAAAATTTTTCGGAAGCAGTAAGGATTCGAAGACCCGAGACCTTTGAATGAAAGGCCAACACCCTAACCTCTAGGCCACGAGAGCCCCCGTTTTGAACTAAGACCAAAATAAGGTCAGAAAGCAAATGTTCCACAAGTATCTTCTCTATCAAAACCGTACGATTATTCTGAGTCATTTTCAAAGTATTCAAAGAATAGCATTAGGCTTGTGTGAAACTCATAATTTTCAACGTCAAATTTCTCAAAACTAGAGGTAGCCTACTGAGCGGATATACTTGTAACTCTGGGGTAGCAATTAGACAAAGACATATTTTGTGATGCTTCTCACTACTCATCATAGATGGAAAGATAATTAAAAACCCAAAAGACTGACCGGCCATTTATTAAATTTATTAATAGGCCTACCAAGGAAAAGCAACATGCCACACACTCACAAAAGAAACAGTTTCACAGTATTCACACTGACAATATCTTTATTATTTCACCAAATGCATGACTCAACAAAATGTCGACGTAACATGTACTACCAGTACACAATGTGAACATTAATGATTAATGTACATAAATGTCATTTGTAACATCTACATATATTCGATAAAGTGTGAAAACTAGGACTTATACTTATATATCGATGGCTGAACACAAGAAGTGGCTGGATCTATATATACTTTTGGTCAGAATGGAGTAATGGATATGGGCAGTAATATTTTCAGCCACTCCCTTAGTACCTCAAAATATCTACGCCGTAGCTTAATTTGTTATAGCGATATTAAAGTAAAGTTTCTTTTTTGACAATGTTATAGAGATTTCAAAATCGTCAAAATTTCAAACACATTTTTCTCTAAACTATGAAAAGTTAAAAATAGATCTAGTCACTTCTTGCGTTCAACCGTCGATATAATAGATTAATTTATATCCACCATAATAAGAAAAAACAGTGAAACACATTGCTTAAAGTTAAAGACGATCTTTACAAATTTTGAAGATACAGCACCTGATCCTGATGCAGGGCTAACACATAAAATCTGTCCCTGTAGTTTTATGCACTCCGAATAATTGGGAAAAATGTGATCATTTTTTGGGCATAATTTTTTATTATTTTCCTTTATCATTCTATGTTAAAATTAACAGAATCACATAATTTTACATTTTTGGGCTGTTTGCATAATTTCCCTTTTTTTGGTGCATAAAACCGCGGGGACAGATAAAAGGTGTCCCTGGAAGATTCTTTGGGGATCTGTTTCACAATCAGTTGAAACTAAAAGCAGTCCCTCCTCTTTGGGATATAAGAGAAATGACTATATGATATCCTCATTGCCCCTCTCACCCGGGACCAAGGTATAGGCCAAGAACAAACACTTTCCACCTTTCCCTGTCCTGGGCAAGCCTCTCGATGTTATTCCATGCCTTCCCACTTTTCTGTACATCAATTTCTGTGGCTCTTCTCCAGATTCCACGTAGCCTTCCCTTGATCTTTCATTTTTACCAACTACATACTACATGATATATAATTTTGATAAAAAATCTTTTTATTTTGTGATCTTTTAAATTTAAGAAAGAAAACGAGTCATTTTGTTCACTTTGATGTACCGGTTCTGGCTTTTGATATTATTTTTATGGTCATACGTACTTTTCAATAAGTTTATTTTTTAAAGTTTTATTATCAGCAGGTTGTAGGAGTAGCAAACCACTGTACGGATGATGTTGCCCCATGATGAGAAAAATGTTGTTCATAAACATACTGAAAACTACGTCCTGTCTTAAGAATATAATCAAATTCAGAACCAGCATACCAAAATTGGAAATTAACAAAATGACGGTGAGCCACTATTTTTCTTGCAGGATTTAGAGCGGGAAAAAAAAAAAAAAAAAAAAAGAAGCATTTTTTCACCAAAGCTAAAATTGCCTTTTATACCAGTATACTATAGAATAATTTTTCTTATCACTAAGAAGTTTGACAACTGTTTCTTGAAACTCATCTTGTAATAAAAGCCCTTTAGTATGGGTTTGGGGATGCATACCAAAATAACGCATAACATAAATCATTTAGAGTAAATTAGAGCTGGGAAAGAGAAACACTAGAGAGGGAACCAGCAGCACCAGCACTATCCTATCCATCCACCAGGATTCTTTCTAGGAAGGACAAAAACCAAGACTAATGGATTGTTTCCATCAAGACGATTTGATTATAGTAGGCAAGCTATTTCAACACAACCTGTCAGAGCCACCGACTCCTGCTGAGTAATGTACAATTTTGGAATTCGAAAGAAAAAGACGAAGACATTAAAAATTGCACAACAGCTGGTCAACCATTATAATGTTATAATGAATAATATAACAAAAAACTTCTTATTAAAGTCGTGTACATTAACAAAAAAGAATGGGCATAATATAAAGACAAGACCAGTAAAGTAATTTTGAGAGAGGTGCTCCAAGTGAACAGCCTTATTGAGTAGGAAATATGCATTCATGCTAGCAGCAAAGTCATGAACTCCCCCCCCCCCCCTCCCTCAAGAAAAAAAACCCCAACAAATAAACAAATTACCAGAGTTCAATCGTATGGTTTGTGGCATAGAAATTATTTTTTTTAAAGTAGAGGGTTTTACAACGCTCGCGACTGCATCAGGTCATATGAGCGCCAAGGGGTGGGTGTAAACAGAGAAGTCTTTACAGGGATTTAGACTTAGACTTCTCACCTCTCTAGCTTCAACAGCACAAGGTTTACTTCGACTATCAAGGCACCCCAAAATAGCAGGTCACAAAAGAGTGACAAACATACAAAAGAAGTAGAGGAAATGACAATAGTAAGGATCAAGAAAGAAAAAGCAGCAGTTCCCTGTTGTAGATCAGGCACAGTCATGAGCATGACATGAGTCAGCCCATTTACAATTCTACTATGCTTGAACAAGAAATGTCCCCCCTTTGGGAATGGCCTAAAGACACTTCAGTCAGTGGCACTGCCCCGGGGGGTAGAAATTTTAAACTTGGGTAGATCTGACAATAGTCCATCATAAATCATGACAAGGTGTGAGCTAACAATACAGATGACAGAAGCAATATGTTGATGGTGGAATGCTTTAACTTTGTAACTGAAAGTAATAATGGGTTCCTTTTTTGTTCTATATTCGTTACAAAGTGGTGATGAAGGTTCAGAAAAAAATCTATCCTCATGACAAGGATAGGCATCCAATATACGGTACTATTTTGCCCTGTTTTAAATCTGGAGACTAATAGCAAGCAGGGAACGTTTTCTAATGCCTGCTCAAAATTTTTTAAAACTATTTTAATAGAAGCCCTCCCGTTTCGCGTCATATTTACTACCAGAAGTCAACTCCTTCACCACTTTAGTGCCGTCGGATATGCGAATAAATAAGGTCAGTTTTTTTCAGCTTTTAGTTTTAGGCAGGTTTTTTTAATAATCCATGCTTTTGTAGTCATTAGGGGGGTTTCAGGGGGTCTCCCCCCGACAAGCAAGTACGTAATAGCTGTGTAGTAGGGCGGGCGGGAGGTTCAGAGGGGGTCTCCCCCCCTGAAATAATGTGCCGTAACATCTAAACTAACCATTTGCGACGTTTTTCAATGCCAAATTTGTGTTCAGGACCCTAAAAAAACCCCTAAAAAGCTACAAAATAATACCATTTCTGAGACGGGAGGGTTTCTATAAATTTACCAAAAAAAACAACTACAAACTAAACCAATAACATGGTTAGAGCATAATACCACCAATATATCGCTACCATAGAATTACAAAGTTTTATCTTACATTTTTGGCCATTTTGAGTTACTAAGACCATGAGGTCAGTAACCAAATGTTCTATCTGCTCTACTCTATCAAAATCATAATATTATTCTGAGTCCTTATCAAGATATTCAAAGAACTGCGCTCGGTTAAGTTTGACATGCTGTCAAACTCAACATTTTTAATGTCAAGATTCCTCAAAACTGGGTAGGCTCCATGTACTGAGCAGATAAAACTTTGCAATTCAAGGGTAGCGAGATATGGAAACTAACACACATGTAGTACAATACTTGCAATGCTTTAATAAAAAGAAGGAAACAACAGCGCTTTGACTGACAAACTGTAAATGTTTTACGCCCCAATCAACACATTTCCACCTCATTTTGTGAAGAGAAAAATAAAGTAGTATCGTCCGTCCATTACATCCATCTTCACCACCGGAACCAAAAAATCAAACCCACATTTTTTATTATATAGAGAACAAAAAAGGGTGGCACTTATATGACCTTATTGTGTTGCAAGTGCCGTAAAACACAAAAACATAAAAAGAGAAGAAAAGAGCCTCTAACACAACAAGCTATGGCTTTGAACGTATCATAGGCACAGACTCCACTAAAATTAAAGCTGTTTACAGCATGCTCACAGTCCTACAATACAATAGTCTACTTTCAAAGGTATATAGGCCTATTTCACGCCTTCAAACAATTATTACAAAACTACTTAAAAAATCATTGTCACACTGGGTTCTTAATTTTTGTGAAAACATTTTTTCATGACCACACTATAAATGTATTTTTCTGATTATTCCCACAAAATGCAACATTATGCTTTGTAAAACTTCAAACTTTATTCAAGCTTTGTTGACAATGACCGATATATGTTTACTCCGATGTCCCTCCTTTTAATTTTCATAGAAACAGTAACATCATACTGAGAAATTAATCCTTAAAAAAAAAAAAGAGGGTGGAAAATATGAACAGCCGCTAATTTTTCGATGTGACCACGCCCATCCCCCCCCCCCCAAAACCCACATTTGGCTACTCTGAAAACTTGTCATTACAAACAAACAAAAATTAACAACTATGTAACAGACTCTGGACCAGTGGTTTGAGTTTGACTACATACATAAATTCTCCTAGTTTGCATTGAATTTTATAGAATTTTTAACGGCTTAACAGGAATATAATATGTTTTAAAAATCAACAAATCACTTCTGGTTCTGGGATGCCGGTTTGGCCGACAATTTCATTTTCTTCCTGTCTTTGCTCTGCTTGTGCACCAATTTCCTCTTTCTCTTCAACCTCTCCTGGTCACGAACGTCCATGGTCAGGATGGACTTTCTCTCCGGCACGTTCTGAGCCAAGTTGCGGCGCTCCTTCTTCCCAGGCCTCTTCATGGCTGTCATATACTCGGGAACGGGGCAACCGGCCTGCCGGATCATTCCCGCGATATTTCGCAGAAGAGGCTTATCGTTCTCTGTGAAGAATGTCACAGCTCTTCCTTTCTTCCCCGCTCGTCCAGTGCGGCCGACACGATGGATGTAGCTGATGGCACTGGTTGGGAAATCGTAGTTGACCACCAGGTTCACCCCTTTGAAGTCAATGCCGCGTCCCATGAGCTCGGTGCATACCAGAACCCAGATCAGACCCAGGCGGAAGTTTTTCACCACCTCATCACGTTGACCCTGAGGACGGTCTGCATGCATGACGTCAATGCGAATGTTTTCATACATGAGCTCAGTATACAACTGTTTGGCTCTATCCTTTGACTGAACGAACACAAGAACTGGCGGTGTCATCCCCTCTTTGATGAGATTGCGAAAGGCGAGAAGTTTTCCATACTCATCCCCAGTGAAAACAAGTTCTTGAAGAACAGTATTTGTGGCAGTATTCTTCGCCCCAATATGCACTTGCACTACATTGTCCAAATTCAGCTTGCACCACTCCTCTACATCCTGAGCAAACGTAGCACTGAACAGGGCCCGACGAAGGTTGGGATTGGAACACGCCTGGTAGATGGTCCCGAGCTGGTCCCGAAAGCCTTGTTTCCCGGCCTCAAACATTTTGTCACATTCATCCACCACAAGCCAGCGAAGATTACTCACAGTGACCAGCGGCAGCTCGTTTTTGAGCATATAGATCAGCCGATTCGGAGTAGTCACCAAAATGTCAAACTGCTGCTGGCACTTTTTGGCCATTGTCTGCTCTTTTTCGACCACGCAGATTTTGAGACCAAGGCCTTTGGAGAGTTTACGGAACTCACGTTGGGACTGTTTTGCCAGCTCCCTCGTGGGAACCAAAATAAGAGCCCTTGGGCCTCGGTTTTCTTCCCCATTCTCTTCTCCCATCAGCTGACTGAGGTCATGGAGTACGGGTACAATAAATGCTGCTGTTTTGCCAGAGCCAGTCGGAGCACACGCCATGGTATCTCGACCTTGGAGCATCAGAGGTACAGCCTGGCGCTGAATGCCTGTGGGTTCCGCATATCCTTGAGCCAGAACATTCCTCAGAATAACCTCACTGACACCATATGTGTCCTGTAACTCTTGGAAGCTGGCCAGGGGAGGAGGGACATCTGTGCCATTGGCGTGGATGTGATGTTTGTTTCTTAGATGATTCAACTCTTCCTCACGGCGTAGTGCTAACTGCGCCGCTGTCTTCTTTTTCTGCTTTTTCTTTTTCTTCCTCTTCCCTTCACTCTCAGAACCCGCCTTTTCTTGCTGACCCAGCTCCTTTTGAGCAACAGAGTTCTCTACAGCCGCTGCTCCATTCAAGTCTTGCTTAGGCCTGTTAACTTTGACCAGATCAGCGTCACCACCAAACCTCTTCATGTCAAACTTTGCAAAAGCCGTGAGCTTCCTGAACAAACTGTTTCCCTGCATCTTGCACTATATTCACCTGCGAAATAGAAATACAAAACAGCATTTATAAGACTTACATTTGTCCTAATACCAAAAAAAACAACAACCCTGAAAGATGATAATGACTGTCCGCTAAAATTCCCACAATATCACAGAAGTGAACATTTTTTTAATGTGACATACTAAAAATAGATACTATTTTGTGGATTTCAAGGGCCATTTGATGACTGACGGAGAGTTAAGTACATAAGGACAAGGAAGAGAGTAAAGATTGATCCTCTCTTTAGGAACACAGGAAAGTTTCCTCATTTCACAGTTGCAAATGGGTACTTGGCAATAGGTGGAGACTTTCCAGAATATTCGGACCACAGCCCAGGAACCCAAAATGATAATCTTAAATAAAAGAGGTGCAGGAGCTGATGACAAGGCAAGGACAGCAACAGGTAAGATTGCAGTGCAGTGGTTTGGCGCTTCACCCTCGTATATGGAGATGTCAGTTTAGTTTTCGTATGAGTTTCACGGCAGTTGCAACACAATAAGGTCATATAAGTGCTGAAATTAGAGGTGCTACAAGCGAGTAACAAACACAAAAAGGAGGAGAGATCAGAACGACAGATGTTTGATAGGAAAGAAGGACCAAATCATACCTGAGCACCCGCCAACTACGCACGGAAATGTCATGAAGACATTTTGATTCCCCTGTGCCTATAAGGATAAATATTACAGAGTACGGTGTATGATCTGTCTTTCTGCTGAGACATTGGTTGTATCTCCCAAGCCTCAGGTTGGTCCGATAGGGTCAAAACAGCCTGTCTTCTTAACCCTCTACCGCCATCTGCAGCAAATTTGCTACACAACATTTCAAAGTATATATATAGTATTCATAAAGGTTATGATTAGTTTCGTTAATCTGTTCCCACTTTTAAAAAAAATAATAGCCTAGCTTCTGATCCAGCAGAAATTTGAAAATTTGAATTTGCATCAAGTTCAGCTTGGACTGTACATGAATGTATTTGTTATTTGTTTCTCTCCTGTGAATGGCAATTGTGAAAGACAGATCTATCATCTAGATAAGTCAAGATTGGCCTCAATTTGTCTCTACCACTATTCAAGATGACAATCGGTGCTACCCGTTATATACCGCCGGCCCCGCTGTACTACCAACATCATGCTAGTCCCAAGGTAGGCGGTATGTTGGGGTTTGACTGTACTTAACTAGCAGAGAAATACAGTCCAAATTGTATGGATGGCCACCAATTGTTGAGGAAAAATGTTGTCTCAGACAAGTGGACATCTTACACAATAACATTGTCATACATAAAAAAAAATGTTTTAATGCAAGGGGTGGGTGAGGGGGGAATGAAAAGTATGACATAATTTACAAGTCGCCAGAACTATTAGAGTCAGAGCATGTAGTACCCCATTCTATACCTCCTCTTTTCCTCCCCAAACAAAGTTGTAGGCCAACACTCCTACACCCCAAACAGTCGACAACGAAACCAACCTTGCATCCCCTAGCCCATCACGCGCTAAGCGGTAAAGCGGGCCCGCCATGGCGCAGACAAAAGTCCAAAGAGCAAAAACAATATCTAGGTACACATCTAGAATCTAGTAGAGAATTATTGGCATTACAGAATGGAGTGAATAGCAAAGTATGATACCTTGCACGCAAAGCGTGCGTATAGCAGTAGAGTCCAAACAATATATCTGATATATATATATTATCGTAGTGCTATTCGCGACAGAGTGACGCTGTGACAATTAATGCGGCGTTAATTGCGACAGAGTGAACACGGAGATCTTTTGCGTTGATTAAAATCTAACATAATCTTGATCTACCATTTCCGCTTCATTTCCCAGCGAGGTGGTCCTAGAGTTATCTAGTCTCCACCTGACAGGATGGAAGGCTTTCTTGAGCAGGTATTCAAATTCAAATCTTACGACTAATTTGACAAAGCTTTTGGCTAAATTTAAAAATGAAAATTTTGTTGCCTTTAGGAAGAAATCATGCTGAAACAGTTGAGAAGGTGAGTTTAAGGTGTGTGTGGCAAAAATCTACATAGACTTTCTGTACAGTAGAATTGCCTTCATCTGTACATATTACAGTAGCGGAGGGTAGTGAAGGGCTCACGAGCTTGAGCCCCCCTCCCCTCCCCCCAAGTCTATCCCAAGGCAAATGAAAACAAAGAAAATAAGCAGTCGAAACTGTTCTGATCGCACGCAAGGAACACAGAGCGATCAACTTGGCGGCTTGCTCGTTTATCCAATCACTGTTGTCACGGCTTACAACTATAGTAACCTAGTAAGAGCCAATCAAATGTCTTTAGGGCTCAGCAATCAACCAGCTCGTTCGCACGGTCCCTCCTTAATGAAACCCCTTTTGTAAAAAGGTAGAAGACTTGAAAAAAATAACACTGCACAGAGGGCTCACGCTCTCCCAGCCCTGACAATGGGGTGAAAGTTTAAGACACACTTTCTCCCAGTGACACAGTTACCTATGCGCCCATTGGGCCTTTGTTAGGCACGTTCTATTTTCCACAACAACACGACCCAATCCACCTCATACACGGTATGTGTTTGGAGTGCTGTGTGTTTGTGCTGCTGAGATTTAACAGTTATTAATTACACCAAACCACTTTTGATTTTGAGGCAACTTTTTCATCAGATAAAAGCTAATTAGAATTTTGGAGGTGAAACGGCTTCGTCCCCACCATCGTGAAGAATTTAACGCAGAACAAAGAGATAGAAGACAAAGGTGACTCTTCTCGTTTGAATAGTTCTCAAAATGCTGTGGATCGCCGTGAGTGTAGAGAAATAATCACTATTTTGTTCTTATTGCTTGCTTTTTGGTGGTAAAAAAGTGGAAGAAACCAAAGCCCCATCCAAATCTTGGTCCACCCACCGCCACTGACACATTATGCACAGCCCAAATACAGAGGTGACAAACATTACTACAAAACATCAGCAGCATACAACAGCAACAAAAACCACTAGGGGCAACAACAGCAACAACAAGAAAAGAGCTGCGACTGTCTTTGTTAGTTTGGTGGGTGTGTGGGTAAATGTGTGTGTGAGTGTATGTGTCTGTGAGTGATTGTGTGCGTTGTGTATGGTGTATTTGAGTGTGTAAGTGTGAGTGTGTGTGTGTGCTTGGTATGTGTGTAGATCTATATCTAGATCTAGATTTAGATTTAGATCTAGATCTAGATCTAGAAAATCTAGATTAGATCTAGATCTAGATTCTAGATCTAGATCTATATCTATGTGTTTGATTTTCTTTTGGGAGTGTGTATACAGACCCGGTAACCGGGAACAAAGTCACAAAGTATACAGACCCGGTAAGGAAACTCTTTTGAGTGATTTCGGAGAGTTTCAGCGCCCTCTTGGCTCAGGGCAGACCTAGATCTAGATCTAGGTTCTTCTAGATCTATGGTCTAGATCTAGATCTAGATCTAGGCAGACAGACTTAAATCTTTGATCTAGTTTCGCGGCTAGCCTAGATCTAAATGAAGATTACGGATGTCTTTTCGATGAACGATCGTTCTTCCTCCGTTTTGGAGTTGGACGAATCACAATTTGAAGAAAAGAACAAGTTACAACGTCAGAATTTCAATCGAGCAGCCCCCCCCCCCTTCTCTCTCTCTCTGTCTCTCTCCTCTGTGTATCGCTCGCCTTCTCTTTTTCTTTGTTTGTCTCTGTCTTTCTTTGTCCCCACCAATTTCCCACTCTATCTTTCTCTCGTTCTCTCCTGCCAACTGGGGCATGTCATATATACATTTTGCTAGCATCCCCCCCCCTCCTCTCTCTCTCTCACACACACACACACACACACGATTTCTACCGGGTCTGGGGGTTGAAACTTCCCGAAATCACAAAAGAGTTCCCCTACTGGGTCTGTATACTTCATGACTTTGTTCCCGGTAACCGAGTCTGTATACACTTCGTTTTCTTTTTTCTTTTGAACTTCCTTTTTTTTTTCAGACTCACTCTGTCGCAATAAACGCCGCGTTGATTGTCACAGCCTCATTGTCGCAATTAACACTAAATCTACCCCAAAAAGTCTAGAGTCTAGATCTAGATCTAGATCTAGAGTCATTTCCGTCTACAATACAAACCTCACCTGCCTGGGCCTGATAGTAGTAGTGACAGTGATTCTGACAGTCTGAATCTTTCTGTGTTAAAGCTAGGAAATGACCAGTTCAAGCACAGAAACGTCTCATATTAGTCTGTTTTTAGCTCCAAGTTTACCCTCGCTCGGGCTTCGATGCACTTCCCCAGTGTGCTACTTAGTGTCGCTCAATTAAAGTTAGTTCACTCACTGTTCTGTTCGGCATGCACGCGACTTTCACTTGTCGTTTCGTTTTCACAGCTGGCTGGATGCACAATTCGTATCGCGTTTTATCATCATTTCGATATCACTGTAGTATCGATATGAATACATTTTTATGATCTGATTTCTGAACCCAGAAGAGCCTCTTACCTGTACATAATAACCTTTTTTAAGGTG